CGTATATAATCGACAACGTTAGCTCCTCTTCGCTCCTTAGTGGCGTAAATATAGGCGACGGTTACCACTTACCACCAGGTAGGCCGTTAGCTTGTTTGACAGTCCAAATACATAAAAGTACTAAGTCACCTTACGTCGCATACCACACATGATCCCAGATTACAGTATCTACGCATTATGCAACTGACAGTTCAGTGACCTAATTTGTAGAGGCAAGTTGAACCGCCACTATTCAGCTGAGATGAATCATAGTTTACAACCACACATTCTCACCGTTGAATGAACTTGACGTTGTTTGAACAACTCCGCTTGATCACATTATCATATTGACACTAGTTGTTAACCGCGATTTTGTCTGATTATTTCGTCTCCTTCTAGTTTTATATGTGATAATAGAATCACTATATCCATCTTTGTCTTCACATCTATTATTAAGAAACGATAATTAGTGTCGTATGGTCGATAAAGGAAACCTGGAATTTCTCGTAATATGTAGATAAAACAATTAATATTACAATTAAAAAAATACTACTAACTAGTGCCAGGATGGGAAGCCGAAAGGAACAATAGAAAGAAGTGATAATTTAGAATAGAATTTGGTATTTGAAATATGAAGATTATAATATAGAACATAAACTAAATAAGTGGCCTGTATTCCACAATTAGCAATTTATTTCTGATAAAGTGATAAGTTACCTTTGTTGTTATCAGTCATTATTTCCAGTCTCTGTTGCTACTTAACAGACAGAGATACCCACTTTCAAATTTATAACACTAGCTGTGTTACACACAAATTAGTCTATTTTTTTAAATACAGGATAGCTTCTGTTTGACCTCATGATATAATCAATATTGACGTCGATTTTTATTAATATACATTAAGTCATTTAGTTGTGAAAATGTAACAAACAGATACTCATGTTTTCACATTTATAATATTAATATTATATATAGTGATATTATAATTAATTAAATTTCCTCATAACTACGTGATAAGTTTTGAAGTACGCATGATCTATAAATATCTTGTAAATTGTCTCATTTTTAACTTTTGCACGATTGGTCAACAATGATTTTATGGAATGAGTTCAATGTGTTTTTTTTTCTACTATTGTAACACTGATAGCCGTAGCTGGCCTTTACAACTTCACCGGAAGAGAATAAGGAAGAGTTCAGACAGTATCCCAAATCTGCGGTGGGACTTTTGGAGCAATTGATGACGATCTGACGGATTCACTTTAATCTGAGAGCACCGTTAGGAGTTTGATCCTCGATTACAACGACCTTAGTTCAGGCCGTTGTAATTTCGATCCCCATTTGAATAGGACAGTGGATAGTTGCTACTTAAGTAATACTTTTGACGCGTTTTAATTAAAGAAAAAGTACAAATATTTTTTTATATTTCTTTCACGAGTATAGTGAATCGAATAGATAGCATGATACAACTACTTCGTTCAATAAATCGTAACCACAGTCGACATAAAATACATATTGAGTATTTACATTAATACAAATGTTGAAGGAATCTAATCACGTTATTTGGATATAAAATTTAATCGCGTTTTGTTATCTAATTTGTAACAGCTGTTACGTCACTTAATAAACAGTTTGTACAGGTGTTTGTTACTGAAGTTGGCGCTATGGCGTTTAACCTTGATTTGCTTTCTGATGTCAAACAATGTCTAATGTTAAGGTGCCATCAATAATGACGTCACAAGAATTTCGCGATGTGACAGTTGGTCACATTTATGACACGCCCTCCCATCATTCTACTGTGGCGTCACATATATTGAAATTTTAACTGTTTTTGTTGATAGTTCAAATACTGTGTTTTCATACTTAGATACATTAGACACAAATGTATAATACAATGTTACACTTTGTCAACATGATTTTTTTTTTAACTGTTGGCTTTCATTTTTCTGTACATTAACATAATATTTATCGTTTGACACTTTGAAATTTTTAATTACCTTAAAATATTGTTTTACTTTATCCGTTACAATGGTATAAGAAACTGGTACCCCACCTGAAAATGATCACATTATTATCTAGATTAATTATATATTGGAAGTACCTTAAGAATAAAGAAAGTTTAAGAATCAATATCTAAAAAATGCAAAATTACGCAATACTCGTAATGTTCTGATGACGGCCTATAAAAACATTACGAAAAATACTCTTATCTTGTGATGTAGATTTATATCGCCGGTTATAGCAATCGCCGATGATGAGTCAGTGTATAAGGGCTTTCCTCTTTATAATATGGATGAAGAAGGTAAACACAGGTGTTGCGGAAATGCGGAAGTAGTTAGCCGTCATCATCCATATCAATATGATAGAGTCACCATGTATTACTAATCTATTATCACACGATCTGTATCATTATTATTCCCAACGATGTTTGGATAAGAGAATTCTTCGAAAATACTCGTGTGCCCAATACAATAGCCAACGTTTTCCTTGTTGTTCTTATGTGCGGAAGAAATATTTGAAATTATTTGAAATAGTTCTATAAAATTTAATTGGATTGGATTTTTCTCGCATTTCTCCCACTCACGAACAGTCCACCATACCTATCTCCAGTTGTTACGTATAACATTTAAGAGTTTAATCCCCGAATATTAAGACACTGCTGTAGGGTTGTCAAGTGTTTTTTCACGACCTAGTGTCCCTAAGTCGTGAAAAAACACTTGACAACCCTAAGTAATCAAGAATTTTAAAATGAGGAATTTCTCTATTACGCTCGAAGGCAAGAAATTTCATAGCATTATATAATGCATTTTATTTAAATTTAAATACTTCTCAAGTTCTTCCGTTTTTTGTCACATTAGTTCCCGTAAATCATTAATAAAAACTAAGAAAAATTCTAGTAAACCTCCTTAATAGTAGATACTACAGAATATTTAACTGTATATATTTTGTGCATGAAGCCGTAAGTCTAATAGTCACAGTTCATAATTGTACTATTACTGTAACACTGGTTATTACCCAATCCACTCAACTGTAACGTCCGTAACACGATAATGGTTTGGGTTATAAAACATGTTTGTTATTTTTACCAAGATCAATAGCAAAAGACTCTCCCTAAAATATACAATGAAGTAGCTGCTCTAGAAATGCTAAAGTGTTGTTCGATATATTATAAACATTATTGATATAGTTAAACGGGTCAATTTTATGGTAATTAAGGTATTTACATGGTGTACAGAAGTACAGCAAAGTCAATATCACTCGAACAACAGCTCGAGACCAGGGCTGATACCTATTTGTTCGAAATGTCCAGAGAGGTAAAAATACCTTTATTTACCGTAAAATTATTCGTGTTAAGACCCAATGTTGTATAAATAAAGCGCGGTAAAAGCAAATGTTTTAAAATAACACATAATAATTTTTAATGAATATGGCACTACATATTAATTCATTAATAATGTCGTGATGATACAGCATTGTGCACGGGCTTAAAGTGTTGTTAGAGTACAGTTCTTAATTACATGACATTTTTTAATAGATGATAATGGAATGGTGCATTCTCCTGCGCTAACGGTGTACGCTGCTGTAAACCAGTGGAGAATGATAGGTTAGGATAATGTCAGGTCAGTTACACCCTTTGTGAGTAACACACTAGGAATTAAGCATGGTTTTTCATAGTTTAGTAGAATACGTTGCTATTCAGGGGGGAAATAGTCCCCGTAATTGACATGAAATAGCGCTTATGATAAAATAATATGTAGTCATTACGTAGTATAAAACAAAGTCGCAGTCGTCTGTCCGTCCCTATGTATGCTTAAATCTTTAAAACCACACAACGGATTTTGAAGCGGTTTTTTAAGTAGATAGAGTGATTCTAGAGGAAGGTTTATATATATAATACATGTACACCCGGGCGAAGCCGAGGCGAGTAGCTAGTTAACAATATAGTATTAAGATTACATTCATACTTTCACTTGCATTTATACAACGCTTATAGCGTACTCCCATTTTGGTAACATTGCTCGTTACAGCTCCGCTCCTATTGGTCGTAGCGTGATGTTATAAATAGCCTATAATCTTCCTAGATAAATGGGCTAATCAGCACTTTTTTTTTATTTGAACCTATATTTCCTGAGATTATCACATTTAACAAAATTCTTCAACTTATTAGCATTACCAGCAATTTTATATCTGCGTCGCTCCCTTCTGTACCTGCTGTTTTTTGTCAGTCTCAAACATTGTTTGGACACGGAACAATCCGTGAAACAATAGTTAATTTCGTTTCTTTTCTTTACTCAGTTCTAATTTAAATTCCTATTTGACGAGGCACATTTGATTTTAATCGGTGGCCCTTTTTTAATGAACCTCTAATTATAGATTTGATATATTGACTCGTGTATAGATTACGTAAACGATCCATTTTTTTTATAAAATAACCCTTTTTTATTTTTTCACTGTATATTTTATTCATTTGACACTTGAGACGAGATCTTCTGATTATCATCAAGAACCTTAAACTGTCACACCAAAACATTTGAGTGAATAAATAAAGATGCCTTTTTTCTTCTTGATTCTTAATATTACAAGCAAGTTAATTTGTATGACATTTTATGTCTGACGTGAAATCTGTATCTACATATTATCAGTGTGATGAGGCGAAAGCTGTCTATTTGTGTATAAAGTTATTCTAATGCTGGCCGCAACTACTCTTTACAGCCTAATCTACCGATAGAGGGCGAGTGCAGATGGCGCTCCATACCCGCGGAACGACTTATGGATCGACTAAAGGCCGAATCTTGGACCTATATAACGGATTTGACTTCAGTCTGAGGGCACCGCTAGGGTTTCGAAGCTCAGTTCAGGCCGTCTTAATTTCGAACCCGTTCGAATTGGACGGGGAACGATAGGGTAAATAATAGCGGGCGTCTACAAATGTACACGCAAACAAAGTCGCGGCCACAATAGTCTAAAAAGTGTTTTAAATTAGAAAACAAAGTGTTCAAATATTCTTTATTTCCTTGTTACAGTCGGATTCCTAATCCTTGTGTTCTACTTGTGGGGTTCGCCATACGAGCGGGGGTTTTTCTGCGACGATGAGTCATTGAAGCACCCCTACAGGGACTCAACTGTGACCAACATAATGCTATACATCGTGGGGCTTGGACTACCTATGATTGCTGTAAGTAATTATTAACTTAACTACTCACGTTATATGAACATATGCTTGATACAGTCGGGTGGAGTGACTAAGTCATGTTCTTTTATTTTTATTTTATTACATACTACCTGTCCCGGCAAACGTTGTATTGCCTTAAAATAAAAATAAAAATTTAGGGGTGGACTACCCCTAACATTTAGGGGGATGAAAAATAGATGTTGGCCGATTCTCAGACCTACTCAATACGCTCACAAAATTTCATGAGAATCGGAGGAGTATGGGAACGAAAACTGTGACACGAGAATTTTATATATAAGATTAGACAAACCAGCATCTGGTTCCATCTCTCATAATTATCAACCGGAAGATCAACGTAGTTTTTTTTAAATGTCTTCTGCTAACCATAGTCGCCTATTTCAATCGCCAAACTGCTTGCCATGTTACAGTTATAGGGTGAAAATAGGCAGTGAAATTACAGGATAAGCGCTATGTGTTAGTCATGTTTCTTTCTCTGAAACAGCAATGCTGGTAGCACGTGTATTACAAGATAACGTGATAACCAGTGTTGTTCATGTATATAAGTAACGGTTACAACTTATCATCAGGTAGGTTAGTTTGCACTTACAAGTTCTTGCCACCGAGTAGTAGAACTGACTCTGGCAATGAGGCACAATGCGACATCTAGTTTACTTTATATTAATTCTAGTCTATAATATCATTTATAACAATATCTTCTATTGTATACTATAGGAACTATTATATTCTACAATTATCGTAATCAGTGCCCAAACCCAGATTTTCAATGGGAGTACTAGACGTGTTTATCAAATAAATTAGAATGTAAACATGCTCTCTTTATGTTGTGTTATTGAACGATACTGATAATAAAGCTAACCAAAGTTTCATGTCAGTGACCGAGATCATATTATCAAGTGTGAAGTATTACGTGAAAATTCCAAGTGTTAAATCGGAAACAAATATTGGTGGAGTGGACATCGATTAGTATGTTTGCTGTCCCATAAGTGTCCCGACCCGACCGTGCCACATGTGTTTGCTTTTGTCTACGAACTATAATGTTAGTTTCAAACAGAACGTCATTTCAACTCAAAAGTGTAAAAAGAGTAGTAGTGTATCTTAGTTGTTTTTACTCTGACTTATGGACAAAAAAAACTACGTATCAAATAATGTTTCTAATTGATTCTCCGGTGAAGGAAACCCCGTTAAGAAAACATACAAAAAAATATTCAATAGAGGCCGATAGGCTCGGGCGACAAGCCGTGACGCTCTCTGTGCAGTATACAACGAACTGGAAATTGTCCCTTATCGTGATGGGAATCTCAGGTAAGAGATCCGACATTGCCCATTAAAACAACTCAAACCTTTACGTTCTATTAGTTAGCACCATCAATTTAAATTGACGAAGGATATCTTTAAATCGACAGATGTTCCTCTCTCCCATGAAAGAAACCTTATTGATTCAATTGAATAAATTATCACAAAACCGATAATATATGTACTATTTTAGAGTTATTACTATCCATTTCGTTACTACTATTAATACACAGGTATTGAATCAATGTAGGAAGGTCTGACGTCAAAGAAAACTATTTAAGTACAATAAAATCTGAAGTTGTTGAACTTGATGTACAGGTCTTAATATTTATGCATCGATTAGATAATTGAGCTATTAACTAGCTTCAAAAGGAGGTTAGCAATGAAATTATACCTACATATAATGCACTCGACTTTTCCTTTTCAAACAGAATTACTTAGTAACAACAGATCGAATTAATAATATTACGAACACAGGTCAATTACAACCAATCAATTAAAATCGCGTTCAGGAGAGACTAATAATGTATTGATGTATTCTCGTTTCAATTGTTCAATAAGTTACAACAGTTCAGTAACTACTTATTAGTTTAATTACACCCTTTAGATTTTATATAATTTTTGTTGGAAAGAAAGGTTCAGAAAAAGGATCGCAATTGATCTAATTGATTACAAGCCTATGCCATGAAAATGCGGTTAAAAAGAAAACCCAACATCACTCCTAAAAATTGGGTCAAACCGAGAATAAAATCTTTTTAGAACTGGCAAAGATATCGCGTAACATACAAACAAAAATGCTGTTAAATTAAACTGGATGTCGGGTGAAAAACAACCACGAATAGGTTTGTTTTTGACCGAAAAGTTTCATAACAAACTTGAATATAAATATAATAATATGACTATTCATCCCAGATGGGGTGGTTGATAGTAGATAGGGCAGTCGTAATGCCAGAGGTAACGACCACTAACGTTCTGAATATACAACAACACTTACTTTTCGATAGGTATATTTGAATCCAAAGTTGGCCGTGGCCGAGCTTACCGTTCGCTTTTGGATTATTTTATTTTATTATCGATGTTTTATAAAGTCTCTCAAACTCAGTCAGAAATACAACTAGACACAAAATTTCTTTTTGTATCGACCAGATTTAGGCTTACGAAGTCCAAGTCAAGATTGTGTAATAATAGACAGTATCAAACTTCCAATCTGATTTTAATCATTTTAATTACCTAGTATCAATTTACAGCTGCCGTCAGATGTATAGCGGATACTACCGAACTTACTGTGATCGTTTTCGGATCATTAGATTATCAGAATCGATATTTATTTATATTATTTCTCATGAACATTAAAGCAATTCAATAATGTTAAATTAATATACATATTTGACTGAATCCCGCAGCGCTACTCGCATGGAATATAGCCTATAGTTCATATTACTCGCTGATAATTAAGTATTAATGTAATACGAGTTTTTAATATTAAATAATATTTTTTTAAGTTATTCCATCTATAAATATTGTAAACTAAAACCCACAGTCTATTCGGAATAATCTGAAAAAAATAACTGATTTTCACACTGTTTTGTGCCATCAAAAGAGTGATTTCAGTAAAAGGTTTAGGTGTATAATTCGTAAAAGTTTTATGCAAATTGGATAAAATATCCGTGTGAAACCGAGGCGGGTCTGTTACAATTTTTTTTCTACTCTATAACATACATTTGTTTATATCAACTTTTCAGTTCAAGGGCATCTTAACCTACTTATATAATACTAAATGTCGGCAAATATTTTGCATTTTAATATTCATATTATCCAATTTAATATTCATTACTATACTTTGCGGTAAAGTTGAATACTACGATTACTAGTTTATCTTCAACCTCATTATCATATCATACCAGTTATGCAAAGCTGGTTGATATATGTTTTATTTATCTATCTGTTAATGCTGCTCTTATCATAATTATTTACTACTGGTACTGATCAACAAAGATTTAATCTTTGTTGATCATAAAACTTTCAATATATCTTATACAAAATTAGGTATTTCTTCAACTGAAATCAAAAGAACAAGAAAATATATGTTTAGTTAAATCTTGACCAATTGTACACGAAAATAAAACCAATGAATAAAAAATAAATTATCAAATTAAATTCATAATTGGCAAAGATATCCCATAAAAGACACGAATAGAAATAAATACATGCGAATTAGGTATCAATTTCTTAAGGTAGATTACAAATAGTCTCCAACTCCAGTAGAGATATCATATTTGTGATATATAAATTTAAATTTTAAAATTAATTGTAATATACGTAACTTGAAACGCAGAAATGATGCACGGATGATATTTTCTAAGAAACAAACGCTCTGTGTAGTTACAATAGGTAGTTCTCGAGCTTAAAGAGACTAAGAAACAGTCACAAAAATAAAAACACACTATACTTAATTATAATAGTAATATTCAATATAATAATCATTTCTTTGTATATTACATTTTATTCCACTTATGTACCTGAATAATTTTGATCATCATCCAGTTAGCTAGTTACTTTAGTAGAGAACTAACAAGAAGCTTAACTGGAACATTTCATATTTTCCATTGTACAGTTTTAATATAATTATTGTTGAATTTGTACTTAATTATACTTGATATGTTGCCAATGATTCTATTGACAGTGACACAAAGTCACGCTTTCATGAGAACGATTTCCTATAGAAACGTAATGTACATATAAGATTATCGTACTCATGTCAAGCCCGAAGCGTATCTAACGAGAACTAGTAAACCAACAATTAGACATAATGATTAATACGTATTTATAGTGATAAGAGTAGAAAGTGTACGAGTAACTGGAGCTGTATGACCTTAATTGTCTCGTCATGGTCTTCTTCCTTAGCTATTCTTACCTTTTTCATTTCTTCCTTTACATTTATTGCTCGAAATAACTTTCTTGGACAAGCTATGACAAGTCTGTTATTTAGAATGATTTTTGCCTTAGCTTCGCCTTCTTCTGTTGTATGAGGTCGTTCTTTATTCTATTCATTGAATGCCATTTAATTCATTGATAAACATTTTCCTCTTTAGTGTAATTTCGGTGTCTTTTACTGCTTGTTGTATTGGATTATTGTTATTAATTATATTATTATAGCTACGTTCCTTTTATATATTTTCTAATGACTATTTTCTGTAAAAATAACAACTCGCGTTTACGACTATTATCAAAGATGGACTAGTATAATACCTCATACACACTTCATTAACTGCCGACGTCGTGGTGAACATAACACTTGACATTTAACTGGATATTTTTGAATACATCGTGGTATGAGGTGAACATTTGTTGTGACAAACGTTACATAGGTATTACGGAACATTTGTTAAAAATATAAGTTTATACTTAAGTTTAGTATAAACTTATATTAAATTTTCAAAGTCGACCATATTCGAACGTACATAATCTAATTAAATGGTAGTAGGTAAATACTAGATCTCGATGTGTCAATAAAAATAAATAAATATTTCTTACAATACGAAGATGAACAAAAGTTATTCTATGAAAGTAAGTATATTTATAATTAGATTCAAAATTTAAAGTAGTTTTTAATGTCTGGTATTGACATTATTCAAATACTAATATGAAATAAATTTGAGCAAAATAGATGAAATAAATGAAATAATAAG